TAGAGTAATATTACTTTATTCTGGTGTGAGTAAGTGAATGTCTGCACCTGGGTATTCAGGAAAGTTAAAAAAGAATCAGCTGAACATTAGAGTTGTCAAATGATTAAAAAATTAATTGCAATTTATGGTGAGATTAAAAAATACAGGTTAAAGCTCTCTGGTCCAGCACCCTTGGGACCTGACTGGTCCCATACAAGGGAATTTGCTCTTGCTGGGGGGAGGGGTGGTCCGTTTTCCCCTGTGGCTCCTGCTGCCCAGGACTCCACGTGCTCTCAGCCCTGTAGTCTGGCAATGCTCCTGGCCCCACAGTGTCATCCCAACGATGCTGGAACATTGCTGGACTAGGGAAGTCCAGATTGCAGAGTTTCAATTTGTAGCAATTAATCTCAGTTTTCATTGCACTGGTAAACAATAATAGAATACCATTTATTTAAATACTAGAAGACTTACCCAGTATTGCTTAGGTTCTTCAGGGCAGGGGGCTGGTGGTATGGGGGGGAGGAGAGGGTGCAGGAGTCAGGGCAGAGGCTTGGGGATGTGGAAGGCTCAGGGCAGGAGGCTGGAGGTCAGGGGGGCAGGAGTTAGGGTTGGGGTTGAAGCGGGGCTCACAGCGGGGAGTGCAGGGTACAGGACTCCAGTCTGTGGGTGACTGGGGGCTCAGGGCAGAGGGTGGAGGTGCAGCAGTCAGAGCAGGGAGTTGGAAGAAAAGGGGGGGCTCAGGAGTGAAGGTGGAGGTAGCTGCAGCTTCTCCCTGAGGCCAGACAGGGACAGTGGAGGCTGCACATTCTGCCTGTCAGCTTCTCTCTGGGTTGTGGGGAGGGCTGCTGGGAGCAGGGAGGGGACATGCCGGCCACCTACCGGTATTCCCTGGGGACAGCCCACAGAGGTAGCATAGCTGCTGGCAGATGCTTCCCAAGGCAGGCTGAGGTATTGGGGATCATGCTGCTGGTCAGCAGTTGCTCATTGGTGTGCTTGCTGCCCCTCTGTGGTCATTTGTGTCCCTCCTGTGCTTGCTACCCCCCTGTGGTCAGGCATGAATATAACTGTCCCTCCTATCAAAACCCTCCATTTCTGTTTGATACAGAATAATCACATTCTACGTACATCTCATTATCCTGGCACAAGCAACCCTGACCTTGCTTTAAGCTGTGATAAGAGGAGACTGCAAATGAAATTTGGTGGTCCTAGCTCTTACTGTTTAGGAGAGGTTCTTGAACAAACAAGCTCACAGATGGACAGAAAGATGGACAGACAGATGCACATATCTAAAATGTACAGTGAAGCTTTTTGGATATTTTATGACATTTTCAAATATATCAATTTCAATTGCAACAGCATACAAACTGTATAGTTCTTGCTTTATTATTTTTGATTATCAATATTTGCACTATAAAAAGACAAAATGAATAGCTTTTTTCAATTCTCCTCTTATAAGTATTGTAGTGCAATCTCTTTATCATGAAAGTGCAAATTAAAAATAAAGATTTTTTTAATATAACCATACTCAAACACAACAGTGTAACACTTTAACATCTACAATTAACCTCGTTATCTCTAGCCTTATTCTGGCCTGCATATTTATACCTGCCTCTGGAAATTTCCACTACATGTATCTGACGAAGTGGGTCTTTGCCCAGGAAAACTTATGCTCCAATACATTTGTTAGTTTATAAGGTTCCACGGGACTCCTTGTCACTTTTGCAGATCCAGACTAATATGGCTACCCCTCTGATACAAGTTCATTGAGTCCTATTTCTTGTTCAGCCAATTGCTAAAACAAACAAGTTTGTTCAAATGTATGGGAGATAATACTGTTTGCTTCTTATTTACAATGTCATCCGAAAGGCACTTAAGACAAAGTGCAGAGTAGGTACCAATGTGAGATTCTAAAGATAGCTACAGCATTGAATCCAAAGTTTAAGAATCTGAAGCGTCTTCCATATCTGAGATGGAAGAGGTTTGAAATATGCTCTCAGAAGCCTTAAATGAACCACAGTCTGATGCATAAACTACAGAGCCATACCACCAAAAAAGAATGTCAGCCTTTTGTTGGCAGTATCTGACTCAGATGATGAAAATGAACATACATCAGTCCATACTGCGTATTGATCAATATCGAGCAGAAGCAAATCCTTTGGAATGGTGGTCAAAGCGTCAAGGGAATAAAATGTTGAATATATCTGTCATATAAATGCCTTGCAATGCCAACTACAACAGAGCCACATGAACCCCTATTTTCTCTTTTATGTGACATTATAGCTTTAAGTCCCATAAATGTAAACAAATTTGTTTGTCTTAGTAACTAGCTGAATAAGTAGTAGGACTGAGTAGACTTATAAGCTTTAAAGTTTTATATTGTTTTGGTTTTGGGTGCTGTTATGTAAAATATAATTCTACATTTGTAAATTGCACTTTCATGATACAGAGACTGCATCACAGGTTGAATCTCTCTAGTCCAGCAACATCTATGGTTCTACATTTGTAAATTGCACTTTCATGATACAGAGACTGCATCACAGGTTGAATCTCTCTAGTCCAGCAACATCTATGGTTTGGAATGATTTTAGTTAGTCAGATGTCCACTTATCATGGGTGTGCCGCAGTCCCATAAAGTTTGTTTACAGCCAACAGTCCTGGCTCTTAATGTTCTGTACTGTTGTTTAGCTCTAATTTACCCCTAAATGTCTCCTAAGAGCCCAGTAATCAGTGGGAGTGTTGGTGATGTTGGGAGAGAAAAAAACACTTCCCATTTCATATAATCCAATTTTACTACCTTGATACTTCTGATTCTCCAGTCATTTGTAGAGTGTTCTTGGAAAAATGTGGTAGATTTTCTCATGTAAAAACATTTCAGGTCTTCTTTTTACCACATAAAAATAGTAATAAATAAATAAATAAATTAATAATAATACCAATGTTCTCTATCCCTGGCTTGTTCACTCCATTAGTGTTGCCTTTTAGCATTAGTTACAGGCTTGAAAGAGCATCTAGGACTGTCTGAGCAAGTATGCATTCACCTTGCAAATTATTCCACTACATTTCCTATCTGTTGGGTTAACTCTTATACTCGGAGCTGAAGCTGCTCGCACTCTGGGGATCAGCGTCTATTCTGTTGCATCAGTGCAACACCAATGAAGAGACTAGAGATGTACTGATATAAATGAGGGCAAAATCTGACTCTTAAAGCTCGATTCTGCCCTCACATATGCAGGTATAACACCCATTGACATCTGTGGGAGTTTTCCCTTGGTGTGTCTTGGACTTTATTTAGATTGTAAACTTTTTGAGATAGGCACTGTTTTCCCATATGATTTTGCAGCATTAAGCACATTTTGGATGCTATCATAATATAAATATTATGAATAATATTAATAGTGCCACCTTATCATTCTCCTGTCTACATACAGCACTACTTGCAAACACTAGATTTACTGAAAACGCAGCTACAATAACCCAAGAAGTTGACAGTCTCCATGAAGAGCCCTCTCTTCATAAAACAGAAAATAAACGTTATATATGCTATAAATTGTCATTTTAATTTTTTAATATGAGAAGAACCATTGTCCGAAATGCTAAATAAAAAGACCATTCAATTTTTTGAAAGGACACTAAACAATACAAAGCACACATTTGCAAGCATGTGGATTTACCCTTCATAATGATAACTTGAAAAATAGTATTAATTGCTAGATGAAACAAACTGAACTACTACTCACCTAAATAACCAATCTCACGAGATATATGTAAACAATTACAAATTACGGAAAAGAAAGAACAGTTTGTCTTTTTCTTAACCTGGGATCTCTCAATCTGTACATGTTTACATCTCTGCTAACAGGCTCAATTAACCTGTGGGGTGAACATTAATCCCACAGCAGGAAAAAGAACCTCATAAATAGCAACAGTTTACACAAAGAACTATGAAAATCTCATGTTTAGATGCCTTATCCCTAACCACAAGGATGCAGATGGACTTGAGCATTTCAAAAGAGATCACCGCTTCTGGCATAATACCTACAAAAATTATGCTACCTTTGCTGAAACATCCCTTTTAGTCAGAACTGTGACTCAAAAGCATGAGGCTTCTGAAAACTATTTGTTATTAAAGCAGGGTAGTGTGGAGGAATTGGGTACCCACAGTTTAATGAAAAGATAAAGCATGATCAATGGGAGTGTAAGGTGCCCTGCACTTCTCAGGATTGGCACCTAAAATGTTAGATGGCACATGAGAGATGAGTATTGTGTGTAATTATGAAGATGGTTGGTAGACTTACACCTCTGTGCTATTTTAGCATATATGCCAATGTATAATAAATATGATAAAATCTATTAATCAAATTTAAAGCATCAAATACCTTCAGAATATTTACCTATTAATTATATGATAAATTGAAATAATAATAGTCATTAGCCTTTGTATAGAATTTCCCCCTACAGATCTTTAGAAAAGTAAATATCTTTATAACAGAGATGGGGAAACTGAGTCACAAAAAGTAATAACTTCTCTCGTCACACAGTGACCCATTAATACAACAAGTTTTAAAACAGGACTTAGGACATCCAGTTTAGTATCCTATCTTCAGATTTCAAAAATAACTCTGGAATTATAGTGCATTTGTCCAATTTATTCATACGTCAAAGTATAGTTTTTTTCTTAATGTTTCATTTTGACAGTACCTAGTTGATTTCTTGAAATGCCATAAAAAGACACTTGACTGTCTTTCAAAACTGCTTTCTGTGGGAGTAGGCAAACATTTATAGACATGCTGGAAAAACCAGTTTACTGAATGAAATGCTCTAATCACATCTCTGCACTGGTAGATTTTATTGGGGGGAGAGGGGAAGGGTTGTGTGCCTTAATTGAAATAAAAGATATAAAGCACATTTTTGATATTTTCATGAATTTTAAGCAAATCTCTTTACTTGTTCAATTGCCTTAAGAAAAAGCTAAAGAGAGCATGTGTGTATGTGTAAATATCATATTTAAATACATTTCCTACCTGCCTTCTAGAAGCAATAGTGCTACTGAAACCCCTGTTGTTCATCTTGGAATTCATAGTCTTGTTTTGGTGAGTTGAGTTGCTTCTCCGTTTCTTAGGGTTTTCTTTTGGATCTGAAGGGATGGGATTCAGAAACAATATTCTGGCAATGAGTCCATAGAGGACAGTGGCCAATATCATTGGCACAACATAAAATATGCCAAAGTCCATCATGTATATAGGGGAGTAGTAGCTCCTGGATACCTTGTAGCCACAAGAAACAATTATAGTATCTTTGTAGACTACTGTGTTGAGATCTAGCAGAAAAAACCAGAGGGTACAGTATATGGAAGTGAAAGCCCAGACAAAAATAATGATCTTTTTGGCTCTTGAAAAAGTACATAGGAATTGAGCTTTGATTGGGTGGCAGATGGCTATATATCTCTCCACAGTGAAGGCGGTGATGGAACAAGAAGAAGCATTGATGCCTAGGTACTGGAAATACGTAATGCAGAGACATCCCACGTAGCCGTAGACCCAGGACCCATACAGGCTCTCGGTGATGTTGGGAAGTCCTGCAGCCACCAGCACCATGAGATCAGCCACAGCCAGACTTACCAGGTAGCAGTTGGTGGGGGTCCTCATGTGTTTGGTCCTGAGGACCACCAGCACCACCATGATATTTCCTACTATACCCAGTCCACAGATGAGGAGAACCAAGAAAATCGTAACCACTTGGTACTCAGTAGTGATCACCTCTTGGCTTGGCAGCAGCCCTGTTTGGTTCTGTTCATCCCCTGTGCTGTTCTCCATCTTCACCAGCTTAAAGCTGCTTCTGCTGGACGATGCTCTCAGCACATTTTTTTTTAATCTCCCTGCAAAAAAGTTAAACACAGTGGAGAGTGGATGCTGCACAGCCCCATGGCACAGTCTCCATAAGATTACAGTCCACGCACAAGCTGCCTTTGCTCCAAAACTCCTGTTTTTTCCCCCCAATTACCAGAGGTAGGTCCCCCTCTAATCCTATTTCATTAACACAGGATAAAAAGCTGGTTCTTTGAACCTGGTCTGAGACACTCATGTGAATGAATGCAGCTAGAGATTTCTCTCTGCAGAGCAGAACGGGAAAGGGAGGGGAAGACAGAGTCTTTTCCCTTCACTGACAGATCGCCAGCTAGCTAATACAATGAATGGGACAGTACCACCCAATATTACCAGATTTTACCATCCCGGCTTTTCAGGGAGCAATCACAATGTAAAGGTAGGCAAGACAAGAATGAGGAAGCAAAGAGGGGAAGTTCAGTCATGCCCATCAGAATTCCTATCCCTTTACGCTGGATTGCCACTCTGCAGTCTGATGACTACTGTCAGTTTGTGTATTCCTCAGCACTATACAATTTGCAACAAAATATACATTTTTACATTCTGATTTCCTATATATCCCTGAGGCAGGGTACACTTACCTTGTGCTTGGCTGGGTTCTCAGAGTGCTTGTTTCATCACAATGGGTGCAATGAAAAGTGTCCCAACTTTTGAAACCTGCAGAAACCCTGTCGTACACTTTAGTCCACAAACATTTTGCTTCACAATGGCTTGGTCACCAGGCTGTGTAGTCCTCTCACTTCCTAAACACTCCCAGTTAACATGTCATCACAAATTATCCCCTGTGAGAGCACACGCGCGCGCGCACACACACACACACACACACACACACACACTTCACTGATTCATAGTCTTCTTTCCCTTGAAGAATCTCCTCTGGTAACACAATCCTTAGTTAGGAAGAGTAAAACCATGCACAAAACAAGGAATCAGCATGTATCATCTCTTTCAGATCTACTAATGAAAAATCTAAACAGGGCTGCTAGTAATAGCATTCCCTAACCAAACTGCACCTGGAAAATGTATGCAGTGCTCCTGGCTCTGTAACGTACTATGAATCTTCACGTTTTACAGAGAGTGGGTAGCAAATCCTTCAACAATATTCACTTAAAGAGATACTACCACCTTTATCAGATGTTTTCAATTCATTATTTTACCTACTTCTGTTTTTAACAGCACATTAGACGCCTGCAACTCTTTTGAAATCCATTTTCTATTTTTCCATTTATGGCAATGTGTGGATTGATTTTGTTTTGTGTTTTTCTGAAATTTCAAGGATTAAAAAGAAATAAAAAAATATAAATATTGAAAGATGCTTTGGATTTCAAAACAGATTTTGGTTTTAAAGCGTGATTATTAACACAGGCAGAATACGTGACACAGAAGAATGCTTTTAAAAAAATAGTATTTTAAAGTAGGCCTGGGAAAAAAATAGTTACAAAAATAAGACTCTTAAATCTTAGCTGAAATTTGAATCAAACCATTTTTGAGGTTTGAAGGTCAATTTACTTAGTCCAATATTTTTCTATAAAATGGTTCAATGCATACAGGAGTCATTAACCCTTTTTGTGTCACCAGCTGCTACTGACACATCAGTTGAAGTATTGCTGACATCACTCTGTGTACATACCATCTGTGTACATATCATTTGGAAAGATGGCCAAAAGGACCTCAATGACTTAGGAACACAAGTCCCTCTTTGTCCTTTGTAGTGATATTATGGAACAGTTGACCAGATTTTCCCAGTATACACTAATACAAAAATGTGGTATGGTAGAGCAGTAGATGTAGAAGAACAAACTTGGAAAAACCTGCTGTATGGATGCAAATTGAGCATCCCAATCATAGGCTCAAAATTCACAGGTAAAAGACACAGTGTAGACAGGGCCCGAGGAAAAAAAATAGACTGTAGACTTGTTACTAATGGCAAAAATACACAATCCAACTTGGCTCCCAGATCTTGTGCTAGGTTTTGGGGGCCGGAAATCAGAAAAATCCTAATCTTTTTACTTACCATTGCTGGGATTTTTATACCAAATTTATCTTTTTATAGCCCATTTTTCAGAGGAGTACCTTACTTTTCCCTCTCTTGGCAACTTCTATTTGTTTTTGTTTTTTCAAATTCTTTTGAAACATTTATAGCCAATGAAGTCTTTGATTTATGCACTGGTAACTAAGAGATTTTTCTTGACCATATTTTTGACACCCTTCCTACTTTTTAGAGTTCTTGGTAGAAATCAGCTACTAAGACGTTTCACATTCATGTTATACAAGAGAATCAGTTCCAGGATCATCATAAGCTTTGCTTCAATACATCTGAACTGAAGGGGTATGTCTTTTCAAACTGCCTAAGAATGAGGTTAAAGAAATGAGATTATAAACATCAAAAATATAAAATGATTCAATAGTGATAAGTGCTTTAGAGAGATAATAGAACTATCACATCACAGCTGTGGGGGGGAAAAAGCCCAAACAAAGCCAGACACTGGAAATTCAAAAAGGATTTTACCTGAAAAGTTATGGCCAAATGTTTCCTTTGAACATCCTAAAAACAATGAGAAGATATAATTCTTCACAATTAAAAGGCTAGAAAGAATGACTATATTTAGTTCCTGGAAACTACATTCTGGTAGGATTTTTAAAAAAATGTCACAAATGAATGATCAATAATTGATATTGTAGATATTGTAGATTAAAAAGGATGGCTGAAATGTCACTTACATGCCCACATTTGCTAGAATGTGATTATAAATGTAAGAATACATCCTTAGTGCTCCCTTGTCAACATATATTGATATTCTAGAAATGTTTTGAGGGCTGAAAGCTTGTAAAGAGGTTATGATATTAATGAATATCTCCTATGCCTTGCATAGCCCCATACAGATGAGTCAGAATTCCAGAGACTATTGTCAGCAGCAATAATGATACTGCAAAGGTTTGAGACCTTTGTATACACCCACATGTAAACATATTTCTTTTATACACAAACATAGGGTGAAGAAATGGGGATTTCTATGGGAAAAATATTTCTCCAAACTTTTCATATACCAGGGATAATTTAAGGTGAGCATTTTCTTTATTTCTTTATGATGTATAAAGGTCAGAAAATTGTTTGTTTGGTTTATTGCTTTTACATTAGATGGATCAGGTCTTGTCTTACAGACATCAGTCTGGTCCTTTCTCCTTGGAAGATGGAATTCTGTTTGTTGGGTAGAGATTTTCCATCTTAAGTCTGTTTGAAGGGTTTAAATGGGAGATAATGAGCCATGTAAAGAATATTGGCCCCAGTTATTATGCATAAAAAGTGCATATATCAGGTGTGGTATACAGTTTTTACCCCTGACCTTTTAAGAGCAGTTCCTTAACCCCTGTTAGCCCCACACCACAACCGCCCATTAGTTTTTACTATAAAATGACATTCTCCATGGAGAGTGACCTCACACATACAGATTATGTATGAGGTCAAAAGAGCAGGAACAGTGCTTGTGTAAAATTGCTTGCCCCAATACTTTACTTTGTGATAGCATTCACTCTGTGACAAGCCAGGTGCAATTAGCAGCCACAAATGCAAACTTGAACTAAACAGCTCATTCATGCAAAGTCAGAGCTTTTTAAATTATTGGTGATCAGCTTTTGTTCCTTATTTTGATGATTTCTCTAGAGGTCAGTAAATGCCATGTATACCTGCATACTTGGGATGTAGTTTTGAGGCACTTACAGCTGCAACTTAATGATTTTGTTTATGTAACGTTTCCTTCATTTCAACAATTCAATTCTACTTTTTTTCTTCTCTACGGACAAAATTGATTGAGAACCAGGATTGAAAGCAGTTTTATTGATAGAAGCTGTCAGTAGTGATACTTTAAAAAAAATAGATAACAGCATGGAGAAATGGAATCAACACTTAAAGGATATATTTCAAAGAAGAGAAAAAGTGAGACAAAAAATTGGAGGCAAACAAAAATAGTATTAAAAGAACAAATGGAATGTGCATTACAAAAAATGGGCTGAAATAAAATTACAGAAAAAATAAAACTGATGTAAAAGTGTGTTTTAGCCTGTGTAGCAGAAAGAAGGTCATTAGAAAAAAAAACACAAAGCAAAAAACAAACACACAAAAATACCAGAACGAAGTGGGTGAGAGGAAAAGAAGTCAGTGATAAAAGGTTGTGGAGGACAGAAGAACAGTGCCATCACTGGGAAAGGCAAGGCTGCAATGTTGAATTTAAAAAAAGTGGCAGAAAAAAGAAAAGGGAGCCAAAGATAAAGGAAATACCAGACCAGAAAGGCATGTATATGACAGAAAGGAGAATGTAGAAGAAACAACAAAGAAATGCAGTTACTTGTGTGGTTACTGACTATGATACGGCTCTTGGGGCTTATCCAATGCCCCTGGAAAGAGTCCCATAGACTTCAGTGGGCTCAGGTACCAGGCCCTCATAGTACTGAGGTTGTGACAAACACAAAAGATAGTCAGGTAAGGAGTGCAAAAGAGACATGAGTTTAAAATGAGGGAACTGACACGTGATTTGTTTACGTTCCTTGAATAAATAATCTTTATACAGTTACTCCGAGGATATACCAGTTTGTTGTAACAAAAATAGCAGGTACTTTTATATGATTTTCAGAGCAGACAATGCTGTATTCCAGCAATCTCAAACCAAAACAAACCAAAACCCAAGCCTGCAGGATTTCATGATTGTAATGGTAAATAATGGCCACCATGAAAGTTGCAATATAAATAAACTTTCATTTCCCTTCAGTTGTCAAGAAGCCAGGAATTTAGCAGCAGTTTTTCTTTGACATTTCTTTTCTATCAGCTCTTTGGAGGCAAGAGCTTTATGATGTGTATGCTTTTCTTCAAAGTTGAGTTTTTCCTTTCCTGGAGGAGGGCAGGTGGCAATGTTCCTGATTTATTCAAGCAGGACTGAGTATAGAGAACTGCTTGCCCCTTAAGGGATTCTCAATTGGTATCCAAGTGGCAAAGAGTAATCAGTATTTTGTGTAAAACAGACCTCCACTATGAAACACTGACACGAAGGAGTTGATGCTAGTGAGAGAGAGTGGCTGATAAGTGTTCTCATAATGTTGGTGGGGCGTGTTAAGAGTTTTCTCTGATTAAATAAATAATCCTTTTGTTGGGTAAATCTGAGATCGCATCTCTTAAGTCAGTTAAGCTGAGTCGGATGGACTAGTCATTTGTTGTGATCATCATCAACTAGTACTGTGGCTGTCAGCCAAATTGCTGTTATGATGACATTTTTCTAGGAAAAGTGACAACACCAGGCACATAAATTGATATTCAGTCTATGGGGACTGGATCTTTAACTTTTTAAAATTATTATTTTGTTTGTGAAACTAGACGCCCTGGAGACTGAAGTCCTCTTTTTAGATCTCTTCTCAGGACCTGAGAGACTAAAGAAGTTGTGTTTGGTTGGGTTATAATGTAGCCCTTCTTTGGGTACAGAGGACTGAATTAGAAGACCACCTACTGAGGTTCGCCCAGTCTTACTCTTCTGTGATTTGTTTAATCAAAGAGGCAGCCAAGAGGTAACATGGTCATTGCCTAGACATACCTACATTAGGGAGAGTTCTCTGATGGTAGACAGCTCTTTAATCTAGTAGAAAAGGCATAATACAGAGTTGCAAGATGAAGCTAGGCACGTTCAGACAAGAAATAAAGTGAACATTTTTACAAGTGATGTTAATTAATTAAGCATTGGAAGACTGTATTTAGGGACATGGTCCATTCTCCATCACTTAAAATCTTTGTGACAAGACTG